TCGTCATTCCACGTCGTGTTTCTGCATCCCGAGCGATTTGCATAACATCCACTAGACAAGGAAACCAAGAGAAAGTGCAGCAAGAGGCTAGATCTCGTATCGCACAGATACGATAATAGTATTTTTTTTTTGAGATTCTGTCAATATCGATGAACCTCGAAATCAGAAATATTTATCCCAACCATTTTGCGTCGTAAAAGGAAAAAAGGCATTGAAATTATTATATGGTGGCGTTATGTGATTTTTTGGGGACGTTTGACAGTTTCCAGGTAACGAGGAGACCCAAGTACCTCTAGTTGTCAGTGGATTAGAGAGAGATGGCTGATGAAAGTTGAACTAACAGGGAAATTGGAAAGGACAGATATACGGAAATACAAAAAAAAGAAAAGAAAAATATTCCGGGACACGTATTGGGCCTTCGGAAGATCCCCTTACTTGTAGAGACCACTCAGCTTTTTCCCCGATGATATTTTCACGAGAAATTCGTAAACTTTTCCCTAAGGGTTGGCGGATAGCTACGGTGGTACGTAAGGGGAAAAACGGGAGAGCAAAAGGGAATGATAAGGTTAAGAAGAATCCGGGACGACCTTTGGCCACCCGTGCGCGATAGAGAAATGAAAAAGTTTTTCCTCACAGTGAAATCTAACGCAAGTGCTCTGCGCGCGCCCTGAACTTGGGAACTAATTTTTTTTGTATTCTTCGACTTGATACCCGTGACTGTTTACCTTTGAGAATATACGTAGAACTGAAACATACAAAAAAAAAGAAAATTTTACATACCTTAGGAAAACAGTCTAAACAATCATTAGTACAATGAGTTCCTATTTGTAATACTAGAAATTCCCTAGATAATCCGTGGGTACACCATAGTAGTACTGTGGTACTGACAAATCCCTAGGGCATACGTGACCCTAGGTATGATCGAGGGTGTTCGCAGGGCTAGGTTGGTTCATTGGATGGTTGGGCAGCAAAGTTACTAACTTGTAGCATCGTGTAGATCCATAATCATAAATCTTTGAAGAATTCCACGCTAGGCGAGCCGACAAGAAGTAACTGACCTTATAACGCACGTATTGCTACAATGTAGCTTTGCGCCATATTGTGGACCGAAAAATTCCCTAGAATAAAAAAAATACCTTGTCGCGGTAATGTGGAATCTATTGTGGAATGTGGTATACTTTTAAATGGATGCGCAATTTATGGAAATTTCGACTGTTTTTCCATTATTATTTAACGAAAAGTATCAAACGTTATTAGATGATAATTTAAGAATATCGATATACTGGTTATTATAATGTAATTTAAATAATCGAATTGCTGAACTGGAGATATATTTAATTATTTTATTATAAGTCATTCGTGGCGAACGTTCAACTGTTATACGTGTCGCTCTTCCATGTATGAAATTCAGGCGATTTCCAATGTGGAAATCGCCACGCGAACCGATTTCATAGGAAATCCAGAAGAGAAGGTTGAAGCTGTAAGACAGACGGAAGATACAGTGGAGAACAAAAGGACCTTGCGAAATCTTTCGAGGATGAACCGACATTTCGATACCATCGTCATATTACGTCTGTATGATAGTATCATTGCGCAATGTGTAATACGCATGAGTCCACACTGGCCCAAAAATCCAGGGAAGCACAAAATGCCGACGATATTTTTATTTTATTCAAACAAACCTGGAAATTCTTAAGGTAAAAAAAAATTATTACCATAGGTATACAAAGGAAAAGAAAAAGTTACAAAAATTAAACTAGAGATAAACAGCATTGATGAATGGGTTCCTATCTATAGAGGACAATGGATAATAGAAAATGTGTTGATAATTGCATAATTAATATTCCAGTAATATCTATTATCAAACAATTCATCGATTACTCGCGACTACCATTTCGAAATATAAAAGTAAAAAATCCCTAAACACAACGACCAACCTCGTAGATCATTGCACGACAATCATCATAAATATGAATGACGGCTGCACCATGATTCCCCAACACGCGATCTTCACCCGTGACACGAATGCTCGTCCATTTGTAATTCTGCCAACTATACGGAGATAAAAAAGTAACTAGGTATCCAGTAAAGTTTTACCGTTTTTAAGTCGGCATCCATAGGGAATTCCTGACTTGGCTATCGTCTAACATGATCGATTCGTTTAGACTCCAGCTATAGGCTAGTAACTTGTCAGCAATAAGGGACGAGAGAGCTTGACTGATGATCTTAGGAGAAAAATAAAATAGGAATATGACAAAAAAAATACCTAAAAACAAACTCAACATTTTGTCTAGCATATTGGAGAATGCCAAAAAAAATTGCAACCAGTACCACTGCGCCACACTATTCCAATCCAAAGAACAGACAGTTACCATATTAACAAGTAGCTTTTAAAATGATATCCTACATGAGCAATTCTACAACCAGTTCAATTCCCTAGACAATTTCACATTCATCAACAGTTTTGCGCACCCTAGGGAAAATCTGCATGTAACTACAATCCATGTGCAGAACATCATTGTAGACATGGTACTCATAACCTTCCATTGATGAAGATGAGGTACGTGCGAAATTCATGTTCCACTTGGAGCGACGATTACTATTTTAACGTTCATTAAGTCCTTCGCTAGCTGCTCTAACAAATGACAGTGTCCATACGTCATCGAAAGTCATCGAAACACGCAGTAAAAACCAATCAGACTGATTGTATATAAAATAAAATTGTTTAAATCTCTCTAACAATGTAAGCAATACATTCCGTGTATTCCTATAAAATCTCATCATCATCACTTAACGATCCTGAATAAATTACTGCACGCAGCGAAATCATCAGCTTGAAATCATTTCAAGGTTTTCGATCTCGGATGACCTTCGACCATCACCCTGCATTTTGACGATTTAAACCCCGTAATTAACATTCTCCATAAGCCTTTTTTTAAATAACCTTTCTTTTTTTCTGGTGTGTGTATATACATATATGTACACACTATTTTTTGTCTCACACTTCTCTCATGATCCTATCGTCAATTAGGCCAGTGCTATGACGCAACGGCGATCCTTCCTCTCGCTGGATTTCCGTGGCAGGCAGATCTCCGGCCAATGGGATTTTAAGACCTCCAATGTGGCAGCAGTGGCCTGTAGTTGCGAAGGAAATGTCAGGAATGTCGAACAATGGGCGTGCAACGAGGATTCGTAGAAAGGTCACGTCTCTTGGAGCAAAAACCATGTCAGCCATTATAATATGTGTATCCCATGGTAGCCAATAATATGACGAAAAAAAAAGAGGATGATCTAATGTCAGGTCGATAGACGATCAAGGAACTTCCCTAGGAGGCCTTGACTTCCCACGACCTTTCAAAAACCTACGTGTCCCAAGGTACACCGTGTCCTTTTATTATCTACGTTCATTGAAATTAACAACAAAATAAGTTATTACGTAGCGATCAGGATATCGTGAGAACAAAGGAACCAAATTTTTTTTTTAACTTCGTCATTTCTGTCTCATCACCAGCCAAAAGGTATTGTAATGACTCAGAAAGTTTGGATAATCTTCCTACTCTTAATGCTATTTACTGATCTGAGATTGTACGTCATTAATTCACGTATGATTATATGTACGTCGATGACAGGTAGGATTTGATTGATTATAGTGATGCTTCTGTTGGCCGGGTTAGAATTTTTGGAGTATCGTACACGTGACGACAAATGAGATTAATCGAAATATCATCAACATTTTTTTTATCGTCATCCTGAGTGGTATTGTCTGTTCTGATTTGCGTCACTCAAAGTAAATAACAATGGTAAAATATCACTTACTAATATATCACTATACTCGGTTATTCAATCGAAACGCACCACCTGAACATGGTTTTAATATAGGCATCATATGGGAGTGCTAACTTCAGGTGGTGCGATTCGGCTGAATAACTCGGTATATGTATTATAAATTCCCTCTCGAATTCCCTAGATTTCGCAATTCCGCCGGATCCTCCCAGTAGTGTACTCAGCGAAGGTATCAGCCTCAGCCCCGACCGCATATTTCATAACGAATTGACATCCCACGTTGAAATCAGTAATGCTGAACGATGTGCGCCGTGCTAAGCTTGAGAACTTAATTAATTAAATATAAAGATGACAAATCATAAGCCCATGTGCGATCAGCAAAAAATTAATGAGTATGAAAGAAAAAGAAAATTTCTAAAATCTGATACTCTACTTGTAAGTGTGGAAATTAATGGAAAAAAGAGTAACCTAAAAATATAACGAAACAAAGATTTTAAAAGCACACATGCTGTCCAAAAAAAGCACACGTTACTAGAACGTCGCAATATGGAGAAAATTACCAGGCTCGACGTTGCAATTCCAAGCATAGTCGCTCCTAAGGTAAAACACACAACAACGCCACTTAATTCGTGTCCCATTACGAACCTAACCTAACACAGCAAAAGATAATCCCGTAAAGAGACGTTACTGGTTTAAGAGAACAAGCAAGGTTCATTAAGGACTTATTGCGACCCATTTAGCTCACAAACAATACCACGTGTTGCCGAAGGTATCCTGATGTAAAAAATATGTTAAGGTATGGCATTACATTATCGAGAGACAAAAAAGCAGTGAAACGTCATTTGGATTCAAGATACCCTTAGAGACTATTAAAAAAAAACCGATTGAAAAAACTTTTTTTTTGAACGAATCAATTTCTAAAATCAAAAATACGAATGTATAAACATTTGTTACAGAAGATAAATATTGAAGATATAAATGAACCTGAACTACGTTTCCAAGGGGGTGTATAAAGAGTTTATTCGATTGCTCAGTATTTTAAAAATGCCTTAGGTAAGAGAACTCAGTCTGATGAAAAATGTATCCAGTGAATAGAGATGCTTCTCTCACTACCGAGGTCTCTCTTCATCCTCTCCCAAGCACGTTGAAGGATCATCTTATTAAGGCCCACACTATATAAACACAACCTAGCCAGATGCCGAACAGTTACCGTACCGACTCTAACCACGCTCGGGCCACGTTGCATGCATATTCATTGGAAAACTGTTACCAGATTAATACAGGGAAATATACCCGAGTGCTCTTTGTGGCGAATTCTCGCAGCATTGCCGGACCGGAAATCGAATTAGGAATCCGGTGTAGCATTTATTAATTCGTGGAGTTTTGGTTATCGCATTGAGCATTTTACTGGAAATAGTATAAACTGTACGGTGTTTGAAATTCCCGCCAATACCAAGAGACCATCATGGCTGCTCTTCAGGTACGTGCATGTACCTAGTTACGTAATTGGTGCTATACAAGGATTTGTATTATGCGTGTGTTTGTGCGAGTGTGCGAGGATGCATTTTTTAATATGAAATTACCGGAAACTAGAACATTCCTAGAAGTGAATAGTTAATGGCATTTGGGAGGAAAAAATTCCTAAAATTTGTTCAGATGCTGGCATCGATAAAAAAATGCTATTTTAACATTATTTTTTAGACTGTTATATGTATAATAAAAGGAATGTGCACGGGGGTCACGGGGCTACCGGTTGCCATTTGCATTGGCTCTTCGCTAGGTTGAGATACCAATCAAGATCGATGCTCGTTCGCGAACCGACGTTTAACCATGGGGTATTTTTTCTAGTCATTTTTTTTACTTTCTCAGGTGGCAGTACTGTTCCTCGTGATGACCGTGGTCCTAGGGGATTTACCGGCTGGGACCCGAAGAAACACATATTTACCACCAGAACCGACAACTGGGTACAGATACGATCGCCCTACAGTTCCATTCCCAACGAGAACACCAACCTTTCCTGGAGTTACACCAACCACCTTCCCAACTAGACCTACACGACCTGAACCACCGATACCTAATACCACTAGAAGACCTGTTACCTATCCTGGACCAGGTCCGAAACCGACGCCAGGATTTCCAGATTATAGTAGAGAGCCAACGCATAACAACGGCAATACTATCGTACCAAACGTGAGTACAAAAATCGTATCCAATAATCCCTAGGATATCATTACCTCGTTTAAGATAAAAAAACCAACTAAAATTCCTTGAGGCTACCTTTAGTCACAGCGAACTACAATTAACATTGTCACTCAATCAACATCAGTACCAAAATGAAAATTGTCACTATCAACGAAATCACTAGATGCAATAGCATAGTACAACCCGGTATAGGGAATTCTTTTCTTGACCAATCTCCATGATATGCAAGAAATTTCCTAGTATCTTTAGCTCCATCTGGTCGCGCATAAAACTGTATAAGGGTAACACCTCCACTCGATCAATGCCAGTAACCAGTAAATGAAGATCGTCCCAAGCGATCAGACGGCCATGTGACTTCCTGACATAACCTCTTTTGCATTGCGATATCGACCAAAGGCGTGTTCAGGATAAAAGCACCAGGCAAGAAGGCGCTCTGGTGATATCTCACGAGAGTAACGTGTACCTAGCGAAGCTAACCATTCTGGGATTGCTCGCGTGTTTAAGATCGTGTTCTTTTTTTTTCCACCATCTACCTACGACCTACAACCTTCGACCTATTCCTTTCCGTCGCTTTGACAGTATGGCGTATACATATATATGAGGAAATGTAGAGACATTTAAAAAAAAATGACTTCGCGTGACAAGAACGAAACACAGACCCCACGTAGGCTGTATGACTGAACGAGTCTGATGAAACTTTTTTTTTCGAATATATTTTATTTATTAATCATTCGGCCATGTGGGGCTTTATTCCTTGTCCTGATTAGAATTAAAAATGTTGTAGCAACAGTTCATAAGAAAAAAATTTTATAATGCTGTTGCTGTTATTCCTGATGATAATCGGTACTCTAAGCATCAGACATATCTGGTCGACTTCATCAATTATGAATTATCTTGACATTATACCGAATTGTCATTCACGATCTGGCTAGGCTTCCATCACTAGTTCAGTATATCCAATTCAAAACTATGGTGCAGATTAGACAGTATATGAGGACGTCACAGACACAACTGTACCATGATTCCCTAGGAAATCCCGTGACGCGACCTCATCCGTTTAACCTAGATTCGCGTGACACTTGACACGGGCTGAGCATATCGTGGCACTGCACGTTCAAGGGTGATACGGTTAATGTACGATGCTACGTGTAACGACAGGAGGACAGCGGTAGGACGTTGCCTAGGGATATTCCCGGAGGAATAACCTCTGGCGACCTCTGCCTGGTTATTAGGTCTGTTACTGAACGCTGAGTAGCGCTTTAATTTGTATGATGCGCACAACAAGAAAAGTAAGTTTCTAGGGATTTATTATTCTAATTTTAAATATTACTAGATTTTTAAAAAGATGCTGCTAATTTCAAATTTTGTTGGGATTCGTTTAATATACTTTCCTGAAGTGAAATTATGTACTTAAAAAGAGATTGTTACAAAGGACTATAACGATGGACAAGGAATAATAAATTTCAATATTTTTAGTTTAGTCGCTTCTACCAATCTAGTTATATTTTGTTGTGTGTTAAATTATATTTAGGGGATTTTACGTGTTACATTGGACGAACGAATGAAAGAATTGAAAAAAAGAGATGGTCCGTAACAAGTAACAAGTAACGAAGAGTAACGGAAAACTTTTTATTCAGTCAATCGAAAAAGTTAAAAACCCTAAGTAACTTAACGAAGTTACTTTTCAAGTTACATAAAACTTATCATTAATACCACTACGTTCTATCGAGTTACTGGATACCACTCTTGGCCCTGACTTCAAACTTCGGAGTCCCTTGGAAACTTAGACTAACCTTATCTCATACCTACGTTGACACGACCTGGCCTAACCCCATTCAGAGTAGACCAAGTCTAACCTAACTCTGTATGATCCTATCAAGTATAATATATTCGTATTTCTCTTTTAGCAAGATCATCATGATCATCATCATCATCACGAACCTGGAATGCCGTTCGATTTCAACTACGCCGTAAAGGAGGACGCCTATGGCAACGATTATTCTCACAACGCTATAAGCGACGGTGAGGTCGTACGAGGCGAATATCGTGTACAACTTCCGGACGGGCGGGTTCAGATAGTGCGTTATGTCGCCGATTGGAAACATGGCTTTAACGCACAAGTATCATACGAGGGTACACCACGTTACGATCCACCGCGTCCCAACAATTTTAATCGAGGCTACTGAATACAAGTTTTCCGGTTTATTTTGAGAACCCTCTAGTAACATTTTCATCTTTTTCCTTTATGTATTTTTTTTCTTTCATTTTCGTTTATTGCTGACGTGCACCAGTCATTAAATGAAAATTTTATATCGGGTGACCCTACATTAAACTACGTATCTTCTCAGCGCGCAATCACGTAATTATTTATCGCGTAATGCGCCGTGACAACCTGTGAATAATTCGAATTTCTTCTGGTTATCAAAAGACTATTTCTTAGGTAGTATATGAAAAATTGGTGGAAAGTGGAAAATACAAGTTTACGCGCTGGTCACGTGCTGGGAAACTTCATATTTCCGCATAACTGTAAAATACCTATTGCTTTCGTATGGTCGACGTCGTACCATTATGATTATGATTTTCGAAACTTTCGATACTTATATACATCGTCTAATTGAGTGCCAAATGGAAAATGGAAATGAAAAGTGAATAATAGTATTATTGTACTGCGTAACGGGATCCAAAATATTGTGAATACTCCGATTAAACGATGATTAAATATTTCGATAAAATTTTCACTAACGGTAAAATTACTAGTTTCTCTGTTTTTCATGATTCTTTTTTCCTAAAATTTTTTGTCCCTTTTTTTTCATTTTCTATACTCCACATTCATCACTCGTCATTATACTATGATCTCTCGTAAGTTAACCTACCAGCCACGATGGATCTTATTCGATCACCACGAAACAATGGGCTACCTTGAAGAAAAAGAAAATGGCGGATGCTGGACAAAAGCAACGGGCAAAACCTTCCCTCGGCACGTGAACTAATCTCAGCAGAACTCACTTTCACTGCTCCGTGGGAAGATCAGATCCTCCTCGATTACAGGGGTTCTCAAAGACCATATATCGGAATAGTCATTAGAAATCTTCAATGACCTCACCACCAAGAAGAAGAAGTCGTAATGAAATCTTTCTGGACTAAAAAGAAATTACCAGGGCGTCTATAGAAAAAGTAATAGCGTATCACTAGATATATTTTTTCGCATAAACAAATTTCAACATCCAATTCAACTTTAGGATGCAATTATTATGTACAGAAGATCTCATTTCCAGCGTCACGTGCTTGCATGACCTAACCAATATACCAGAACTTCACGTAGAAATAAATGAAAGATATAACGCTCGCGTATTCCCTAGAAAACTTCATATTACTTTTACGCGAAATATACGTCTTATTTATACTTATTGGCAAGAAACGTGGAGATCCTGTCAGATGCAGGTTAATGGTCGATCGAATATCATTGGCTGAATTTTATCCCCAGTTGTCAACGGGGCGAGAGACGTGACGGGATACTTTTTTTACAGAATTTGAATATTTTATAAAAGAAAAATAAAAAATTATTTTTTTATAGTCCACCACCTACGACGGATATGAATTTCCAATCGTTCAATTTTCAATGCGTTTACAATATTGCTTGTGCTAATTCAACGTATTTCACGTGCCAATGATCCTCGACTCAATTTCCGTGTAATTACCGGGTCCCATTTGGATTTGCCACGTATAAAATGTCTAATCCTTGACGATGGATAAGCGTCCAGAAATTCAGTAGTACCTACAGTTGGCTGGTACTAATTAAAAACGAGAGCCCTCGAAATCTTAATGAAAATTTCATATCAAAATTGCGTTTCCTTTTCCTCTTTATTTTTTTCATCTAAATACGTAAAGGACAATTTATAAATTAAATCAAAGTTTAGTTTCTTATAACCTCTTTATTATACTTAATTTTCTTTTAATTTATCAATGTAAATTTAAGTAATAATCACTTGTCACTTATATATTTTCGTTTTATGAATCACGTACGTTGGATACTTTGGATTTTATGACTTGATACGTAGGTGTATGTTGTATCTATGAAATTCAAACGTATTAACTGCAAAGCCAAAGCCGTATTTGTATACAACGTATCGATGCGAGGAAAACCTGACAAATTGAGGGAAAAGCTTTGAGACGCGGACAACCGCGAAACCCGAAATAAAATCAAAGCGAACCAAAAAGCAAACTGAATAATGAACAGATATAAAGACCACGCGATGAGAAAAAAAATAGAGAAAACCACTCGGTTGACCTATTTGGTGTGTACATCGTAGAGGAAAAAAAAGCAAGCTGGAAAATCTAAAAATAATAAAAATGAAATAAGAAACATAAAAAAACAAACACGATAACGCTACTGACAAGGTTGCCGCATTAAAACAAAAATCCCAATTTTTTATTATTGAATAACGACAATGATTGAACGCTTTGATATTTACCATCATTCCTCATAAGTTTCACAATAAGATTATATAATTCAAAGTAAAAATAAAAAAAAATTCTTCAATCTTAAAGTCAAAATAAAATATTAGCAATTAGTCAAAATTAGGCTATTAATGAATCTAGGACATTTCTTGCCACATTCCGGTATTAAATATTGCACAGCGACCTTCACCTACGCGTACAGTACCGCAGTATGAGGTTAAACGCATAATAAGAGGCAAGGTGGCTCAGCAGTTGGTTCGCTAAGTAATGTCAATTATTTTTCGATAAAATAGTACTACTCACCTTCACGACCTTCTTCACCTAACCGCTATCTCCCGCGGCCCTTCCACCTCGTATCCTTTTCCATTACACCTCGTATATTGATACTGTTACATTCAGACTACCTAACATAGACTTGTGTCAGTTACCTCGCGCCTTTGTTCTTTGAAATGCCAATAAAATGCGACTTACCCATCAGTCGGTAAGGTTAAATATCTACCTTACCTACTCATGTGGACATGGATTTTATGACCGATCATTAAAACCCGATACCGATAGGCATTCTCGATATTATAGGGTGTTCCCACGTTTTTCTACCACGCCAAGAGTTCATTATGCAAAAATAAAAAAAAAATTCTCTAGATTAACAATAATGATACTTCGTACAAGTACAAAAATTCCCTATCAGTAATTACTGCTATCGTCGTTTGCCCATTTTATGTGTATATGACTGAACAGACAGAATATTTGTAGACATTAAATTTTTAAACGGATCCTACGAAATAGTTTATAACGAATATAAGAAACATACAATTCTGTTGCGACTATGACCCTGGGAATTCTTTGACGCGTTGAACATATTTACGGTACTTTGTGTATGTGCAATGTCATTAAATTTGAAACTAAGAAATATAAGTCTCACTGAAGTCGTCTACCGTACGTCGTAACAATAATTCATCTAGAATTCAGGGTTACGCGGCTGAACGCTGAAGTCAAATATAGCAAAAGTAGAACTGGGCACGTAAAAAAAAAATCCAGCTGGTGTCGCAAATGCGAACTTCACGTTTTGCCATTACTGTATTTGTGATTGCAGAGTGCGTGCAGAGAGTGCAGAAAGGTCAGATACACTATAACGAAGGAATCATGCCAGGAGGTCATATCATGAAACTACATGGGAGCGGGATGATTAATACGAAGTGGTACCAATCACGTGGTACTGCACGAGTTTTTCATAAATTATGGATACACTAAGTGATCGTACTGGTAAACCATAAAAAATAATGGCATTGATAAGTGCCATAAAAATACTATGAAACTGGTTATTAATAAAACAAAAGTTTGGGGAAAATTCCATTTAAAAAATGTCTACCTCTGATATATAGTCGATCCACGAGTTCGATGTGTTTTTTTGACAGATCGAAAACAATGAATTCTTTAGGAAGGCACACGCGTCATTGCTTAAAATGTTTGTTACAAAGTATACTAAATATATTTTATTGATCTGTCTCAGCATCAATTTACGTTATTTCATTGAAAATCCCGTGTGATTTGACAATGCTAAATATTGCATTGCTTATAAACTGTCAAAAACACACATTGAACTCGTGAACCGACTGTACCCAATGGCGCCATCTCATACCCATTTCATTTTTAACTGCTTAACCATCGATCTGTCAGCTAGGCAATTATGGGTAATTTCCAACTATTACGTGCCAATTCATATTTGAATATATTTATATGGATTGCGTGATCTACTGAATTCACGCGTTTATTTCCCTCCTCACGAAATTTTGATTATTACAAGATTTCTACGAGATACGAAATTTCTGAGTTGGTCTAGGGGACAAAAGTAATAGAAGTAGAGCCACTGAAATTAAATTACTTGATGGATGAAGTTAGCGTGTCGAAGAAAACTGATGCAGAAATGGTATCCAACTGTCAGTCTCATCGCGAATAAGAGATGCACGAAAATTTTCATCTAGGGAATTTATTTCCACTGCGAGCTCATATAATGTATCTCATGGATAAGAAAAATTAAACTTTATTCAATATGAATATCTTGTTAGAAAACAATCGGACTCTCTGCCTACTGCCTAATAACATTAGTTATATCCAAGTGGCATACCAACCCGAAAGGATCAAATCCCTATATGTATATATCTAGGGGATTCCGAAAATCCGAATTGAGATTCGACGGAGCACGCTTACGTCAACAATAGCGTCGTGGATTGAATGAGAAGCACCAAGTGGAATGGTGACAGACCATGCCTAGGGATATTATATACACATATAGAGTTACTTCAGGAGGTTGGCAGTCTTGACACCTCAGCAGATCCATACCTATATCAAAATGCATGACGCCATACCTGTATATCTGCTGACGTATATCTATTGGAGAAAATAAAATGCGTTCGTCAAGTCTAGGGGCATTTTGATCCAAAGCACGAAACAGTCAAATTGATAGCTTTGACATAAAGGAAGAAATGAATGCGGAGCTAAAGGACTCGATGGTAAGCTCGTTAAAAAGACCTTTGACCCTCAACGCTCTAGAACGTTCGTTTAAATTCTATTACGTTGCTAATTCCAAGTTGCATTATGAAGCGACCTTGAAAAGAAATACCACGTTACATACGGAAACTCCCTTTGCCCCAGAAGAAAATTATCGGAGAATATTTTACGGACGATCAATTTATGATTAATGCACTTTGTACCTTGAGAAAATGATTGGTGCACTTAGGGATCTATCGATATTAATTTTCTACCAAAAGTGTAATCTGGAAATATTTTCGATAAAATTAAAAGTAAAATTTGATTTTCCTTAATATGCAGTACTTTTAGAAATATACTTTGTCAAGATTTGAGGTTAGATTCCTTCTATACCTTTGCATGCATAATTGCGAAAGTGGTGCCAAAGGGACAAAAGTGGAACTCAAATTAAATCAAGTCTTTTAAAACATCCTACCATTTAAAATTTTTATCATACAAAATTCTGAATTACAATTTTATTTCATACCTGTCAAATATATATATTGGCATCTGTCAAAATTCAAAGTCTAACCTTAAACTAAAATTCAGCTTGAGAAACACTGTCTACTGTATGCTGTTACGTCAGAGTGTAGGAGTCACGTAGGTAATGAGGTGATCCCTCGAGTATCATCGCGTCTTCCTTGCTCTACATTTGCGTGTTTTCCCATTTTTCCTTTTTTTTCCCCATTCGCTCATACCACTCGTTCCACACCACTCTCACCGCCATCTTTTTCTCACTGGTACGCCACTACAA